ACACACAGTGTAGATGTCTACGTGGTCCCCACCCCACTTCTCCGGTGCAGGCTGGGAGCAGGTACCTCACCCTGCCCTCCCCCATGCTCTGGGAGGTCTAGAACACATGGGCCTGTGTTCTCAGCTCCAGACATAGGTGACCCATAATGCACCAGGTGACTGGGGAAACCATCCCTTGCCTAGATTCTCAGTCTACCTACCTGTTCAATGAGTACAGGGGGTGCATTGAATCCATGGTGCCTGAGGGTGCTGAGCAATTAGAAGCCATGCTGTGAATCATTTTCCACTTAAAACAATGCTGACCGAAGTCTGTACTTAGTGACATTCTAGCCAGGACTAGGGTCTGGTGTAATAGCAAAACAACAGAAAGCATAGGAGCAAAATGTTTCATATCTTTATGGGAGGACAATTGAAAATTGCAAAAAGAAAAAAATAAAAAGAAGACATCCCCAATTTAATGTTCTACTACACTTTGGGATAAGCCCACACATTTGATTTCAGCAGTGGGTGCATGTGTACATACACACGCCCACATGCACATGCATAAATTTAATTCTTACAAGTCTTTGAAGGAAGGACTATTGTAATCCTCACTATATGGATTAGGAAACTGAGGTTTGAGATAGTGAATATCATGTCGAATATTACATGGTTCTTGCATAGATAGACAGCCACATAAGAATATCTTGATAATTAAATATAGACACCAGTAGTGGAGAAAGTTTTGGAGAAATTGAAGAAAAACTGGCATTGTCTGTGTGGCTGCACAGCAGCTGTTGCTGTTAAATGATGTGCAGAATTCTTTCTGATGGTTCCATGTAGCCCAGTGGGGCCCAGGAGGCTGGCACACTTTCAGTTCTCCATTGCTGAGCTATTCACTTAGCTTCATATAGCACCTTCTTTCTCACCTTCCTTCTCACCTTCTGTCAAGCAGCCTCCCCTCCGTCCCTGACTGGCAGAGCTTGGGGTGTAACATGGGTTGCATGTTTATAATGTGCAGGGCAGCAAGGCAGGCCCTGAGCAGAAGGAACCCAAATCCTCCCATGTGAGCTCAAGGACTGGGAGAGGCATGGACACTGGAGCAGGCTCGGTGACAGAGGTCCGATCAAACCCCTGGGGATTCCCAGTGGGGAGATGCTTCTTAGTCACCCAGGAGAGCAAGGAAGGCTTCCTGGAGTCGGTGATGTCTGTTTCCAAAGTACAGTCTGAGGCTTTCCTGCTTCATTCTCCAGTTGAGCTGGAGGAAGTGTGGCCATAACAAAGCCACAGGAAGCTACGGGATGTGCATCGGTAAAGGTTGGCCTCAGGAAGTCCTCCCCCCCGCCCCCAGGGAGGCCCCCAGGAAAACTCAGGCAGAATTTTGGCACATGCACATCAGGCTCATGGTCAATTTCTATCCTCCTCCTCACGGGGCCTCAGGACTCTCCTCTGCAAAATGCAGTGTTCATCCCAAAGTCACCAAGAGCTGGGTTCTGGTCCTGCGTCAATCGGGTGTTAGCTGGGCCGCCTGACCCAGGTTATTTCCCCTCTCTATGCCACGCTGCTTCCATCTTTTCAATCGGATTACATAAGTACCTGTTTTTTCCACTTTACCAAATTGCTAGTAATGCTATCAAATGCAATAGTCAATGTGAAGGTAGTAAATTAATAATAATTAGTAATAATAACAGCAATTAATAATAATAATAGTAACAGTGAGCATGAGGAGCAGCTGATTCTGTTCATCCCGGTCATGCATTGCTCATTATTTTCATCCTCTGGCATTTAGAGAGAGTGTGTTGGGTACTTAATGCTGTTGGAGGACCAGGGGTGGGGCAAGTCTTTCAATCAAATGGAACCTGTGCTGTAACTAATGGATCAGAAGGCAAGAATAAAATGTTAAGGAAGGCCGAGGCCATAAATAATTTAGCTAGCACAGGAAAAGATGTCCCTGCTTGGGTAACTCAGTAGTTTTAGGTGCTACTGTGCAGTTAAGGATGGGAAATGCTCATTTCTGAGTTTTTAGAAATTCAGGAAAGCAGAATGGTTGTCTGCCTGAGACCCAGGAAAGGGGCCGAGCCATGGAGCTGGGGAAGCTGAGCTGTGTGGGTGAAGAAGTGGTGAGGATCTCCCCAGAATAGCGCACCCATTCATTCTCCAGGAATGGTCCATGCAACCCCAAAGGGGCCCAAGGTCGGCTGCAAGCCACCCCCGGAGGGATGCAGAGGGACTCAGCTCTGGAGGAATCACCCAGGGCACACCTGCACATGGAAGGGGGCACAGGGAGGCACAAGACAAAGCGAAGGATAATTCCTTTTGGAGAGAGAATATACATTGATTGAAACTTCCTCATATTAAAATGTACATGACTGATATCAGATGCCTTTATTGTGAGCAAGGAAAGAAACAGTAGAGCCCTGGGCCTCTTAAGCAAGGAGGAAAGATCCTACAGTGGGGAAAGATTACAGAACTGGGGAACAGAGGGGAGGGGACCAGAGGATTCAGTCTTGAGTCAGGAAACCTGGGTTCCTTTCTGTCACTTCCCAGATGCACACCGTCCTCAAGTTACTGCATCTCTTAGGATCTTCATTTCCTCACCTTTAAAACTGGGAAATACTTGAGAAATCCACTGGGAGGATCAATTCAACTAGTGACTGTAAGAGGCATGGTGCAAGTCATGACTGCCTACACACAGGCTGCTCCGAGGCTCTGGAATTTTACAGGGGTCACTAAGGGCCAGGCCAGAGCTGTCATATTTTTCCCTTCTGGGATGAATTAAAAAACACTACATGCTGAATTAAAACCACAATGAGATATCACCGCACACCAGTTAGGATGGCCACCATCCAAAAGACAAACAGCAACAAATGTTGGCAAGGATGTGGAGAAAGGGGAACCCTCCTACACTGCTGGTGGGAATGTAGATTAGTTCAACCATTGTAGAAAGCAGTATGGAGGTTCCTCAAAAAACTCAAAATAGAAATACCATTTGACCCAGGAATTCCACTCCTAGGAATTTACACAAAGGAAACAAGATCTCAGATCCAAAAAGACATATGCACCCCTATGTTTATCGCAGCACTATTTACAATACTCAGGATATGGAAGCAACCTAAGTGTCCATCAGTAGATGAATGGATAAAGAAGATGTGGTACATATACACAGTGGACTATTATTCAGCCATAGGAAGAAAACAAATCCTACCATTTGCAACAACATGGATGGAGCTAGAGGGTATTATGCTCAGTGAAATAAACCAGGCGGAGAAAGACAAGTACCAAAGATTTCCCTCATTTGTAGAGTATAACAACGAAGCAAAACTGAAGGAATAAAACAGCAGCAGACTCAGAGACTCCAAGAAGGGACCAGTGGTTACCAAAGGATTGGGGGAAGGTGGTGGGGAGGGAGAAGGGGATTGAGGGGCATTATGATTAGTACACATGGTGTGGGGGGCGGGTCACGGGGAGAACAGTGTGGCACAGAGAAGACAAGTAATGGCATCTTACTATGCAGATGGACAGTGACTTCAATGGGGTGGGAGGGGCTTGATAATATGGGTGAACTTAATAAAAGTAAATAAATAAATAAATAAATAAGGCAAAGAAAATATTACGTGCTGGACTTGAAATCTGAGCGATGTATGGATTAAAACATAGACACCACACAACTGCCGAGATCCTCTGGCCAGGCTTCCTAATGCCAGAGTCACCTGAATAGTGGGGACTTCATCAGCCCCTCTGTGCCACTTTAAAGGCCAGAAATGATGATTTCCCTCCTCAGATGAACAGCTAGGCTGTTCTGGTGGCCCCGTCCCACAGCCTGAGGAGGTGTGGGTCTGAGAAGCACCAGACCCCAAATCTCATCACAGCTCTGTGCCTTAACTAGCTCCCCTGTAAAATGGCATGGTCATGCTTACCTGCCCACTGCCCAGAGGCTGAGTGGGACAATCCATGCCAAGCCCTTGAACTGTGCCTGGCACAGAGAGGCAGTCCATGAGAGCGGGACTTACTGTTTTATTGCCATTTTCATTTTTTCATATAATTTTAATTATTATTTTATGAGGACACCTGTAATGGAGATGAGCCACAGAGGCAGAGTGCTTCCACAGATGTGTCCACACCCACTCCACCTCTCAATCACAGCTGGCTCCCAGTTGGCACACTCTGGCAGCCTTGAGCATGCCAGGCTGGGCAGAAGGTGTGCGCCATAGGCCTGTGGGGAGGGCTGGACGCCAGAGCCCGCAGACAGGCACTCTCAGCCAGACCCTGGCAGCTGTGACTCACCTCTCGGTTACTGCTGGCGGAGGTGGGAGAACAATGTTCAGATCTCAGTGCAGGGAGGGGTTGGGGGAAACTGGGCAGAGCTGGGGCAGGGTGGGGAGCTGGGTGGGTTCTTGGAGATGGCTCTAAAGGCTTGATTTGGGCAGGTTCCCTAACCTTGGGGCTGGGGCTGGGCAGGATGCCCCTGGGATCCATGTGGGTGTTTAGAGAGGGGCCCTGCAGGTGGGCTCAGATGTTCTCCAGGCCTGTTCCAGGCACGCTGCCGCTTGGCTTTTCTGGGACTGCAAACACTGTTGTCCTTCCATGTTCTCTGTCTGGTCTGGGGGGGCTCGGTCCTTGCTGTTCTCTGTCCTGTGGGTCTCTCTCTATTGTCACCTGGTGATACCTTCTTAGCCAAGCTGGCTCCCCTGGATGGAACTATTACTCCTAACATCTTCTGCAGCTGTGACCTTCTCTTCTGCCACCAAGACATGATGCCTTAGCTTTCCCCGATCCAAGCACCTAGTCCCAGGACCCAGACGGTCCCTTCCCAGCTGAGGTGTCCCACCCTGGCTCAAACACTTATGGACAATAGGTCAGGGCAGGACAGAGGAGTTCTCAGCAGGGGGAAACACGAAAACACTGGCAAGAGGTAACTCGGTCATTGTATTTAAGCTTGGGAGAAAAGAAAGGTTGAAAGCATTGTCCACAGCAAGCACATCAAATTAAATGTCAAAAATGTCCCTTTGCCCTTCACCTACCTGACGGCCCATGTCTAAAGTCCCAACATCACAGCTTCATCCATTCGCTGCAGACAGGGTGCACTGAAGGGAACAGCATGTTTTGATGTCAGACTGGCATGGCTTTGAATTCTGGTGCAAGCCCTTATTAGCTGATGTGTCTGGACAGGATAGTTAACCTTGCCAAGCTTCAGTTTCTTTCAAAAATGGATTTCATGCACCCCACACAAGGCTGTCATAAAGAATAATCACGGAAATACCGGACTAGGGGCTTGGAAGCTATTTTTATCAATAATAACAAAGTAGATAAACAGTCACAACCTGCCAGGTTTATTGTGAGGATCAATAAAATCATTTAAATAGATTTTTCAGGTTTACTCTATGCTATGCCCCTTGAACCTTGCACATGAAAGACACTAAATAACTATTGAAGACATTAGTGAATAAATCAAAGAAGGAATAAATGTTACTTTCCTCCTCAAATCCCCTTGCCTATGAAACTAAATACGTTCTGAAAATAGCCACAGCTAAGAAATGTTGTTATAATGTCAACACCTACCCTTCTCCGTCTGCTCAGCCCACCACCCAGCTCAGCCTGTTTGCCACCTTCACACTCTGAAGGAGCCCGAATCCCTGGCCTCACCCAACGCTAATAAGCCCGTCCTGTTTTTACACAGCGTGTGTGCTGGGCTTGCCATACCTGCTTCTCGGCCCCCCGGGAAACTCTTACTCACCTTCAAAATTCATTTTAGAGATTATTTCTTCCAAAAGGCCTTTTCTGAACCCCTTCCCCAAATACAGCTTATCATTCCCCACCCTGCACCTCCCTGCACTGGGCCAACGTTCCTGGAACTCGGCCTTCCCACTGTGCTTATCTCAGGGTAGAAAAGGTACTGATTTCCAAGTCTGTCTGCCCAGTGAGCCCAGCCTCACCTGCCCTGTTTCTCCCTCCTGCCCGTCTTCCACCCTCCCTCCCTTCCTCCTTTGCCCATTTTCATTCAACAAGTACGATCCGACTGTTTGCTCCACGCCTGGTGTCAGGAATACAATTAGTTCACAGGAGCACCATTGTCTCAGTCCTCACATAGCTTGTAGTGGTGGTGGTAGTGGCGATGTGGTTGATGGTGGCAGACATGGCGCTGATAGTCATGCAGACACTAAAACAAGTCCTTATCCTGATACAGATTTAGTTACAACTGTGATGTGGCTGACAAAAAAAAGTGCTGTGTATTTCCTTCCTTCCTCTTAACATTAAAATACATTTTGATCTTCAGGGCCCTCAGCTTTGACCTGTTCTTGGCCATCTATCTCTGAGTGGGAATAAAGGATCTGAAGGCAGCCAGGTGGCCTTTGACAGACAGGTGGGAGGAATAACAAAGGGTTTATAGAGTAGATAAGAGGTAGAAAATGAAGCTCTGGGTGTCCAAGATGGAGATCAAATGGCCGTGGCCTGCCTTCCACTCCCATCCATTCATCCACTTACAAGCTCTTACTGACTGCTTCTCGGTGACACGGAGGAGGCTCAGGGGATACAATCCCCTCAGGCTGTTGCAAATGCAGGGGTCCCCCAGGAAAAGTGCAGTGGCCCCACCTCCTTATAGCTGGAATCCAGTGAGAGAAACGCCTGTATCATCTCTTGTTCTGTTAAGCCAGTCTGCTGATCTAGGTAATTAAGCCGCCCAATTAGGAAATTAACAAAAGGAAAAAAAATACAGCACAAAATTCTTCAACTGAATTATTTCCTTGGTTTGGCCAACGTATTGAGGTGACAATCCAGAGACCCAAAGTCCTGGGAATCTCGGTGCTTTGGGTTTGGGCCTGGGAGGAGGTCAGAGGGAGGGGACATTCAGGCCCGCGTAGCAGGGGGTCCGGGCAGGCAGAAGGCCCTCTGGGACCTGGAATGCCACGTGGCATGAGCCCCACTGCTCAGCACAGGCAGCCCAGGAGGGTGCTGAGGATGACCATTTGATCTTCAGGTTGGCATGTGCCACCTGATGGCCTTTCCTGTCACTCGATCTCTAATTGAACGGATAAAATGTGTCACAGCTCTCATCTCCCACCCTGAGGGTGACAGCAACAGCCACAGGGCTTTTTTTGGAAGATAAAAAACTCTGCTCTGCCTCTGGAGGATTGTGGTAGAACACAGATTTTTCTGTCACCTTTTGGGCCACTTGCGATCCTGCTTCCTTTCTGTCCTTCCCAGCAGTTTGTACAGAATGCCCTCTGACAACATTCCCTTGAACTTCTCTCTTTTTTTAATGGGACTTTGATTCTGGAGTGGTTGCATAAGGTCACTTTCCACAGGGGCCTGGCCTCCCACCTGCATGCCTGCTGCCTGCCAAGCTGACCTGCTAGTTCTGAAGCAGCCCCTGCATGAATCTGGGTCCCTGCTGAGAGGAAGAAAAGCTGTCTTTCATGGCTGGGTAAGTGCTTGTCTTCTCAGCAGGGCTGTTCTCAGTGCAGGTCCCCTTGGCCTGTCATTCTGGGCCCCTCACCTTTCTGGAAGTTTCCACCCACCTTTCTGGAAGCATTCCTTGCCAACTCTTCCCACATCCATGTTGCAGTTAAAGTCTGCACATCCCTCCTCATGAACATTCGAAAGCTCCCTACTTCAGGGCAGTCCTTGCTCTTCGAAGACCCCTCTGCTCCTTCAAATCAAATGCCACCACCTCCAGAAGGCCTCCCTGACTCCTCTCAGTGAGAAGAGGCTTCACCCTTCTCTCCCCCACTGTGCATGACCTGCACTTCCCTTTGCAAATTATCACAGGCTGTTCGGTGCTCATCATCTGTTCACTGCCCTGGTTTCAGCACCGCCACCCCCAGAACCCACTGTGTGTATGAACCTGTATGTCCAGCTTGGGTCTGGTGGACGTGGAGACGCACTCCCATCAGCTATGGAGAGTGAGGTCAGCAGACAGCATCGAGCTGTCGGCTCCTTTGGGGTCTGCCCTTTCCCAGGCAGGCTGCATCCAATGACTGAGAAAGGCAGGATTAAAAGACCATTTCAGCCCAAGAGGAGACAATCCATAGAACAATGTCCCACCCCCTGCTTCCAAGCCAAGCTTAGGTGCTGGCCAGGCTGTGTGGGGCCAGCACCACAATTCCATGTTCCCACCGGCCCCATCCTGCTTCCTCCGGCTTCCACTCACAGGTGTTGATCCCTAATAAGTATCCTGTACTCCAAGCCCCATCTCAGCATCTGCTTCCAGAGAAACTCTCCAGTGACACTGGGTCTCTGGAGCTCCCTGTTGCATCTTCCATTCAGCAAATCTTGCTCAAGCCGCAACCATGTGCAGACACAGTTCTGGGGAAATGAAATCAGGTAGCAAACAGTGTGGGACCTTCAGATGAGCAGGTGGCTCACTAGAAGCAAGCAAATAAATGACAGGGTGATGTAGATGCTGTGAGGATGGACAGTATCGGGTCAGAGAGTAACTTGGAGGTCACAGAGATGGGGAGGGATGGAAAAGCTGCTCTGAAGAGACAGTTGCTCTGAGAGCCACAGGTTGAGACGCCAGCCATGGGAAGTGCTATTCTATCATGTTCTTTTTGTCTACTGCCTCCTGGATATCTCACCAAACATTCCCAAGTGGCACAGGTGGCCCCCTCCATGCCCAGTCCGTTCTACACTCTCCTGCCTGTGTTCATGGCCTCAGGAAATGCTACCCTGTCCACCAGCCCCCCAGCCTGGATCCTGTCCTCTCTCTCCCTCATCACCAATCTTCTGGGGCGACCACACCCCAAGTCCACTGCAGGCTGCCAGCTGTTGTCATGGGCTGTTGCAATACTCCCCCGACAGGTCACCCTTCCCCCTGTCAGTGTGCTCCTTGCTCCCAAGCTCCAGATCCAGTGTGCACCTCTATAAACTCGCCACCCCATCCACCCTCTCCTGCCCCATGGAATGGAGCTCTCCCAGCTCTAGGATTGCATCCCACCTGCTCTGTGCATTTGCTAAGGCCGCCAGAACAGAGAACCTCAAACCGGGTGGCTCAAATAACAGAGCTGTATTCTTTCACAGCTCTGGAAGCTGGAAGTCCTAGATCAGGGATTTGGCAGGGTGCTGCTCCCTCCGCGACCCTGGGGAGAATCCCTCCTCGCCTTTCCCCAGCTTCTGGAGCCCCAGGGAAGACTTGGGAATCCTTGATGAGCAGCGCCTCCATCCCCCCGCCCCACCCCGCGTCTGCCCCTGTTGCCACAGGATGTGCTTCGTGTCTCTCCACACTCTCTTCCCTCTGTGGTTGTGTGTTCTGTGTTCTAGCTTCCCCTTTTTGGAAGGACACCAGTTATATTGCACTACAGTCTACTCGAATGACCTCATTTTAATTTGGTTGTCCCGGGAAAGACCCTACTTCCAAATAAGATCTCATTCTGAGATACTGTGGCTTAGGACTTCAATACATCTTTTTCAACTCATGACACCTGCCCCGCCTCTACCTTAGACTCACATGCCCCTCGGCATAGTATTCTTCCAAAAGGGTCAGCCCCTGCACTCCCTGTTCCAGCACCTGGATCAATGGTCTTCAACCTTCTCTGAATTTGCAGCACAATTATTTTTTAATACATAATTTTGCATGCTACTCTGATACAACAAAATAGAGGTGCTGTCTGATTAAAGGGGAGGAGGGCACAGCTTGGACATGATGCCCCCACACCATGGCTCCTTCACTGGCTGAACTCTAGGAAGTCTGGGGTGCCAGGGACTGCAGCGGACAAACGCTACCTGGACAGTGAGACTCTTGGCAATGAGCTTGGGCCTTGGCCGGCAGAACCCTAGGTTCCCAGGCCTGGGTGGTCACTTCCTCAAGCCTTCTGCCAAATATCCACCTTGTAGATGTCTCCTTGCTGACCTAGTAACACATCATAATGCCCTATTTCCACCCCCATTCCCTGCTTTTTTTTTCCTCCCTAGCCCTTACTTGTTTGCCCCTCCGCGTTAGAATGTAACTTCTGCAGGAACAGGCACCAGCTTGTTCTTCCTCCAGGACCTAAAACGGTGCCTGGCAGGTGGTAGGTGCTCAATAAACATTTGTTGGATAGAGGG